AGTTGGTGCTGTGGTAGAAGTGGGCAAAAATATTTATACTTTAGAAAAAAAAAGAAAATGTGTCATTCAGTGAGTTTACAACATAGTTTACACTCTAGAGGACCCCCCCACAAAGCCAGCAAAAAAAAAAAAAAAGATTGAAAGAAAAGTTACTGTTAGAGAAAGGAGTAGTTTTCCCTTCTGAGAAAATGCATGCTTGCCATATCCTAAATTTTTCTAGAATTCTTTGTCATTGAGTCTTTAAAATACAGTAGATGCATTTCCTCTTTTTTTTTTTTTCCATAGTTCCTTGCTAACTTTAATTAAAAATAAAAAAGGACTACAACTGGTTGCAAGGATGACATTCCTAATTATACAGAAGCCTTACTTTGGTTTCTAAATATGTTTTTTGAACCTTGGAGCATAATGAAAGGTAGTATTTCTTGATGGCAGTGTGCAAATTTATGTCCCGGGATTCCAAATTTGTTTTTACCTTGTTCCAGGCTGCTGAACTGTTCCTGCTTTGGGTTCAGTTTCTTTCTTCTTTTATAATGATTTTCCATGGAAGAAACTCAGTTGATGTCTCCATGAACATCTCTGATTTACACGATTCTAAGGGAAGACAGAGCTTAGGGGTGCTTTTTTTTTTTTTCCCTGTGTGTCTGCACTGTATTCAAAGTGCACTTGATATTAACTGCAGAGCTGGTTTGTCTTTCTTCTAAATCTCTGAAATAAACTGTTGAATAAAACTATTAATGAAGGTTCACTAGCTTAAACTTGGCTTTAAAATTGATGTCACGCTCAGACATATAACTCTTTAGCTGTATTACATTGAACTATAAATAATTTAAGGAAAATGAATGGGAAAGCAGATGGTGCTAGGAATGCTTTGCAATTTGCAGAGCAATAAAAAATGGTTTAAATTTGCTTATGCCCCAGCAGGTCTCTCTAAACACAGCCTAAGTTAGCTTGTTTTTGAAGTAAGCTTAAGAAAAGTCATATCCCCAGATAACATACCACAGAAAAAATTGAGAATCTTTGTGTTGTGCTAACCATTCTGAGAGCATAAATTCCCTTTTCTGACCTTTAATCCATGCTTTCACACTTAATTGGAAAGTTGCCTTCAAGTTAAATTATATAAAATTATTTTCATGCTTTAAAACTCCCAACATTTTTAGAAATGCAATAATTTCTCCAAAATGTTTGCAAAGCGAATGTTGTGGAGTAGTATTGGTATAAGAGGAAAAAGTTCAGTCAGTCATTTTGTTCTCATTGCTCTGGTTGGCACATGTAAAGTTAAGGGTTTGAGTAGTGGTGAAAGGGCAAATTGGATTTTTAGTAACTGATTTCATTATTTAAATTCCAGGCAGACTATAATGCTAAGCACTTTGTGATTATTACTTTGGACAAAAAAAAAGATCATTTTAAAACAAGTAGATGATCTCTGTCATTTTAAGGGGGAGGTGTGCCTTTAGAAATCCCCCCCTCACTCCTCCAGTTTTTCTTTGCAAGCACAATTGCCTGGAAATTCACTCTTTGGTTTGATCATTTGGTTTTGCAGTTGAAGGATTGCAGAAACTAGGGTTTCTTCATGAGCATGAAATTTTGCAAGATCTCTGCTGGATTTTTGAAGCCAGATTCAGCCCAAGTGTAATTATGCTGTGTGTCTTCCCAACTTATTGTAGCACTTTCCAAGTGCTTTTGTCTGTGTGTTGTTTTGAAGTAACACAAACAACTGCAGAAAAAGTACATATTTTCAAAACTAGTTATTCGAGATATCTTTTTTGTATGACAGAAAGTGCTGAGCCGCTCTTCAGTTGAAGAAGAAGGTCCCCCACCCTCTATTTTTGTTATCAAAATACTTCTTCCATCAAATTAAATAATATGCCAATGAGATTAAAAGTTTAAAGAAGAATATTTTTGTTAAGTATACATTGAAGGAATCAGTAAATTTAAAGGGTTAAAATTTATACCTGCAGCATTAAGCAAATGCAGAAGAGATGCAAAGCTGAAATACAGTTCTAAAACTTTCTGAAGTGAGGTTGTCTCTGGTCTGCCCTTTATCAAGGACATGTAATCCGAGAAAGGATTTTTTTTTTTTCTTTTTGTCTGTTTTGTAATTTTAATCCACTGTGCCCTCAGTGATGTGGTCTACAGAATCTTTCCAGGCTGTAGCACCCATTTGTAGGGTTCTGCACCTGGTTTATCTCTGATGCAAAGTAAATGTTTCTGAATAAAAAACCAAGGCAGTATTAACAGCCATAACAGGGAAAAATAAATATGTGGCACCTTCGATTTTTTTATTTTTTTATTTTTTTTTTACAAGAGTTGAGAAAATCAGTTCCTATGTTATGATTTCTTGCCACAACCATAAAATATGATTTGGCTGCTTTTTTAGGTGAGCAGGTTTTGCTTCTGGGTCTGGATTCATGCCTTTTGCTTTTAGTGTCTCCAGTTACCTCTTTTGGCAGTGTCAGGTCTTGTCTGACAAATGGCACTACATTGGGCTTAAGTGCCTGGGGAATTGCGTTGGTGTGAAAGGGCTAGAGAGAGTGTTATCAGGCATCTGATACCTAAGTTACTTTATATGCCCTAAGGAAGCATTTGGATTCAGAAGCTCCCTAATCTAGCAGCCACAAAAATTCAGAGGTGCCTGCTGCTCTTGCACTGTTTCCCTGTCTGGCTGGGCCAAAAAAAGCCTTCCTGCTTTTTCTTTTGCTGATGTTGAGAATCAACCTCTGAACCTCTCTCCAGCACTGCCTCAGTTTCCTGAGCAGTCTAATCCTTCAGAAATGTTTGACTCATTAGTCATCTCATCTTCTCTCTCCTCCCGCTGAAGCAAGTGCAGACAGCTACTTGATGTATTTGAAGTGGTAGCTGCTGTGGTTGGCTTATGTAGTGCAGACAGTGGTGGAAGGCAGTGCATAGACACAAGTTGTGGTTTTGTGGCTGTTACCTGCTTGTGACTGCCTTCTACTTATTAATCTGCTTACTCTGTGTCACTAACCAACATTTCACATACTGGTAGTCACAAAACCCACTCTGCTTAGTATTTCACTGGTTTATGCTTTCAAAATTTGAAGTATATGGATATAATGAAAATGTAAAGAAACAGAAAAAGCAGAAATAAACCGATGCCACCACCCGCCTTTTCCTTCTCCCCATGACTGTCAAGCATCAAATAGTAGAAAATCTTAGTCAGGCGAATGCTGAATTGGGAAGATTGTTGTGATTGTTGTGAATCACGTGAAAGAGCTTGGTGAGATTTTTTTCTCTTTCGGAAAAAAATAAATGAACTATAGCTAATGGACAAAAGCAAAATTTAAAAGCCTTAATCCAAAGGCTGACTTATTACAGAAAGACTTCTTAAAAAGCATCGAAATTAAATTAAATGTCCTGCTGCCTCAGCCATAAACCATGACAGTAAATGCAGTATAACTCCTTCTTTGTTCCTTACTATTTTTGCAATTAGTTCACTTTTTTTCCTACAAAGACGCTGCATGAAAGATCTTGTTATTTGTGGCTGTGATAAAATATGCTGGCTCAGCCTGCCTGAAGAAACAGAAGCCTTGGCAGGAAAGCTGATTACCATGACAATCTAAGCAGTCCAGAGCCGTGGTTTGTGTGGGCTTTATCATAAAGATACAGAACGTGTCCTGGATGGTAGAAAAGCTGATTGTTATCATCATGACTCAGGAGACCCGATTGTCCTTCCAAGACTTTGTTTTTCATTTTGTGTTACCTGAAGACAGGGCAAGGTGAACCTTTTCAACTTCGTGTATATTTTTGTAACGTTTGTGTACTTATATATATATATCTTAGTATATATCTTAATGCAGTATTTACATGGTTGGTTTTTTTTAACATCTTTAATAAGATGTTAAATGTTAGGTATTGATCATGGGCTTCAGGAAGAGCTTGGGAGGAAGGTCAGCTGGGTCAGACAACTTCCACAATTGACATTTCTGCTTGAAGGGGACCTCTGGTAATAGTGTCTCCTCTGGAAGGTGGGAAAGTAGCTAAGGCAGGTTGAAGTGGGGGAGGATGAAGCCCTTTTACTTTGCAGAGCTGCAGTGAAGGCTTCTGGAAGCAAGGAGGAGTCTGGTGGGTTTGGGCACCCCTCCCTGTAGCTGCTCTGGCTATCCTTCCTCTGTGCAGTGTCTACAACAGAAGCTTTGGATGCTTTGGGCAGGCTTTTTGTGATGCTAACACGCAGCAAACCAGTGGTAGATACAGCAGTGAGGGGTTTAAATCTTTGTGGGTTCTTGAGAATACTGCAGGTAAGAAAAATAGCACAGAGGAATATTGCCTGGCACTTGTTCCTACTCCCCAGCCTGATGTGCTGTACCAAATCTGTGCTGCAGGATCTTCACAATCAAAGACAAAATACTCTCCACGTTCTTGCTTCCTAGCTATATTAGGGTGTAATTATTCCAGCCATTATTTATTCAAAGGTAAGAACTGAAAAATCAACACCCTCACCTCCACCAAAGTGCACCTTGTGTGTAGTAATAGGGCTAATACCATGTTGTGTAGGGTCATTAGTTTAAAACTATCTCAGATTTGAATTAGGGAAACCAGTCTGTTGGTCTCTCCTAATGTATCTAAAGAAAGTTACCATCACTGGCATTTTCACGCTGTCAAGAAATAATAGATTTAAGTGAGTTAGAAAGGAAAAATTACTTGAATTTATAAAGTCCCAGGATCCCTGTGCAAATAAATTAATCAGTAAGCTTTCCTTTTTTAAAGAATCGGCTATGTAAGTGTTTTTCTATAAATGTTTTGGTTCATTATGACAAAAGCAAGGGTATTCGCATTATTGGCTCTTAACTGCTTTCCAAGTAATTTCATTGTTTACACAAAAGGGTTTATTGAAAACATGTCAAGGAGCTTTTGTTCTGTTCCAGTAACCTAAAAATCTAAGAGTTTGTTGTATAATCTTTATTTGTAATGTGGAACATTACTGGTCCTGTAAAATAATTATTAAGAGCAAACAACCAAAAGCGTGTCTTTCCACACAGTTCTAGAGCACGAGCCAAAAGCTGCGGGTACAAACGATGAAGAGGAGGATGAGGGAGAACAGTTTGACTTTGACAGTGGAGATGAGATACCAGAAGCAGACAGGCAAGCTCTTGTGCTCCCTCTTCCCGATCCTGGAAACAGCATAGAGCACCAAGAGGCTAATGCCATAGGTAAGTCAGCTGGTTGGGATGTGCCTCCACTAAACTAAATAATCAAGACTGATTTCTTGACAATGCAAAAAAATACTTGGAAAAAGAGGTTTACATGGAAATACCATGCAGGTGTTTTGAATATGCCTGTTAGTTACACTCATGGTAGTTTTGATAAGGCAAGTAACCATCACATGTAATTTCTGTGCAGTTTCCCATCCAAGTGTGACATCCAAACCAATGGATTGGTCTCACTCACAGTGCCATGCTACAGGAAAACCTTATGCCCTTGCAGCTCTAACAGTATGTGGATGGCTTGAGGGGAATCTGCTTTCACAGCTAAGCTTTCTGTTTGCTGATCTTAAGATCATGCGCATAAAAATAGACAGTCTGAAAGTATGAGTTTTGTTCATAAAGAGAAGTCATAGCTTATTGAACATTAAAATGTGTTAAAAACGTGTGGATGTTCCCAGTGCTGAGGTGTAGACTGGAAATAGCTGTGTTCTGCTCAAATGGACAGCAGCTAACTTTACTGACTTTGATCCAGTTTTTGTAAGTGGAATCATTGTGCTTGTGGCATTTAAAGATAGATTTTTCTTTGCCCCTTTTTTTTAACAGAGCACTTTCAGGACTGAAGTGGCCCTCTAGTGAAGTTTTTCTGTATTTACAGTTATTCTTAAAATGCTCTCTTGTATTTGTGTTTGCATGATGCAAATTCATCTGGAATCCAAATTTTAACCTTCAGAGTTTAAGGCTGCTTCCAGCCACAACAAGCAGAAGAAGAACCTGACTACTTGTCAGAATTCCTCCTATTCAGGATTTACATTCCAGTTATTGTTTTTCTGTAGGCATCCCTGTCACCCAGCTTGTTTTGCTGCTGTTGCTTTCCTCATCTGTAAAATGGGGAGGATAGCACTACTGTGTAGGAATTCTGAGTCACAGATTGTAAGCAACTTGTATAGTAAGGGTCATATCAGTGTTCAGGGTATTAGCAAGATCAGTATTAAGCAGCTTGAACAGGTATGAAAAACAAAACTTTATTTTTATGTTTAATTTTTCAACTAAAGGGCCTGATAATTTAGAGAACAGTGAGAAGCTGCGAACATCAGAACCTGCTGCAGAAGGCACTCCAGCCAGAGTAAATCCCTATTCAGTCATAAATATTTCACCAATTGAAGACAAGTATCCATCCTCATCACCAGAACCAAGTCCTCAAGATGAATGTGCAAGTTCAAACTTGTCTGGTGGATATTCTGTTCCTGTCCCCTGTGGCTATGCTGTGCCATCTAATTTACCATTGATACTGCCAGCTTACTCCAGTCCTGTCATAATTCGCAGTGTTTCTGTAGATGAAGAAGGTACTGTGTTTGTGCACCTTAATTTATTTGAAGGGGAAATCTTGTTTAACTTCAGGCACCTCTGCTGTTTTCTAAATGCTTCTATAGCACTCAGCCATGATGTCTCTAGCAGATTTTGTGTCAAAACAGAAAAAGAACTCTGTTCAGTATAGTATAAACTAAAATTTCTTGTTCAGTGTTTAGGCCAAGTGGTTTCTTCTCATACTGTATCAACTCAAAAGAGTTCCTGTCCCTTTCACCTTTTCTGTATGTACTTTTTTTTGTTTGTTTATTTTCCAGTCCTTGTAGATTTATAGTTCCTGTGGGTTATTTTCCATGACAATTTGGTGAATTCTCTTTGTTCTTTAGTACAGTTTTAAGATAGAAGAGGTAACTTGAAAGGGAAATAACTATGAATTATTACAGAAACAGGAACCATCCCCCATTTTGTAACTAGAATTGGCAAAGCTGGCAAATTAATGTCAGGAGAGCAGGGGGAACAGAAAGCTCCCCTTACTCTGCCTTTTTTTTTTTTTTTACTTTCTTTTATTTTGAATATACTATCCTTCAACTAGGCAGCAATTCTACTGTAATTCCCAGGTAGGCAGCAATTCTACTGTAATTCCATGTACTATGGTAACTTTTTTATAGCCTTTGCTGTCTACCTCCATTGGAGATATTAGCAAATAAAAGCAAAAGCTTGTGTGGTTGTTTTTACCTGTAGAGGAATATATGTTTGAGAAACTAGAATTAAATTCATCAGACATTGTAATTTCCTCTTAACATTTCTTACATCAAATTGCTTTATCTCTGAATTCTTCAATTTCCCATAAAAGAGAGTGTGAAGAAACTTCTAAGTTCTTAAATGTCTTTATTTAAGAACAAAAATATTGTGAGAAGCAATTATTCTTTAGCAAGGAACTACTAAAATAAGTTTCTAATGCTAAAATGTACCATTTGAACCACACTGGCATTTATTCCAAGCATTTTGCTGATTATATATTTTTTTCTGTTTAGCAGGTACACAGTCAGCAACTGAGGAATGTCATTGTAATTCTGTAAACTCAGAGGAGCCTCAAAATAGGTGATTGCCAGTTCTGCCTGTTTTAATGATCTGTTAAACCTTAATTCCTAAGTAGGGTTACATTTGATAAATCAAATATTTTCTTTTTCTTTTGTGATGCGGCCTTGTTTGTTTATTTTAATTTTTTTAACTCCATAGCTCTGGTTGTGTACCAAAATCAGCAGTGGTTGAGGTCTTGTATGTGTAACCATGCATGACATTTTTTAAGAAACTAGGTTTAATTTTTATACAGTCATAGCAATGTCAGCTGCAACAGGCTGCTGAAGATCTTGTAGTCTTAACCTGCTGTCTTTATCAAGACTCCTGTCAACAGGCTGAGAGATCACCTATGGCCTTTGTAGCTGAGCCTTGAAAACCTCCAAGGGTGGCAATACTGCAGCTTTCCTGGGCAGTCTTCCCTGCTGTAAAACCCTTTGGTGATTTATTTTTTTTGTTTGTTTGTTTCCCTAATGTCCAACCCCAAACTTCCAATATGCAGCTTATTGACTATTCCTCTTTGTGTATCATCTGGCATTGAAAAAAAATAACAACCAGCCAACCCTCAAAACCCCAAAACAAATCTAAACCAAAACACCCCAAATCAAAAAACTCCCATCAGCTCTGTAGCTCCCTTTTAGATTATTGTAGCTCCTATTGGATCACCCCATCCCATCCTTTCCCTAGACTAAATAAGCTCCACCTTTTTCCTTGTAGACTGTATTCTTTAGTCCCCAACTTCAATTTCTCCACGACTCTCTAGAAGGGAGGTGTGTTGGGAAACCGAAACTGGATGTGCTGCTGTAGGTTCAGCATTAGCAGCACCTACCAGAGGAGGAGAACAGCCTTGCCAAAGCTAATGGCTCCTGGTGTAGCCTGAAACATCTTTCGTCTTATTTACAGTGAAAGACCAGATCTCACTTCAGTGCTTTCTAAGGGAAAGTTTTTTGTGTTCTGACAGAAGACTAGGAACGCAATATATATATTGAGTTTTAAGGGGAGTGTTTTGAATTTCTTGACTAAAGTTGTCAGACTGTTACATAGATTATTAATCAATTACATACTGAAACATAAATTACTAATCTACTCACAGACTGAAACAGCATTTTTGAGTAATGAGCAGTCTCAGAGTGGGAACTGGGAGGCAGTAAGGTGTTTATTGTCTGTTTTTCACAGTTTTTTAAAAAATATGGTGTAGTTTTAATGCTTCTGTTTTATGGCCTTTCTTTCAAGTGAGGGTAATGAGGCCAAGAGAGAGGATGATGCTCTGGCCAAGTGGGTTGCAGATCCTGCAAATACAGCATGGATGGAAAGTAAGTATCAGTGAGCACCAAAGTCCAACTATAGAAGAAGGTTAGTTTTAAGTTGTGATCAGCAGTTTGTGTGTATTTATATGCACATATATATTTTCCAGTAATGTTTATGTTCACTTTTATTGTATTTTTTCAGGTATGTTTCAGAACAGTTATGCCAGTTAAAACATTCAGCAGTGTAATAAAATTGTGTATCTTAGAATAGCATTAACATTTGGTTTTCCATGGAGGAAATAATTTGGCTCTATCAATATATGTACAAAGCTCAAGTTCTGAGTCTGCTCTGTGGCCATATGTGTAATTATTCTGGTTGTGCAGTAATTAACAAATAAGTTCTTGGGGAAGGTGGAAAGGAAGGAATAGTTACTTGTCCTTAGTGTGTGCCTTTGGCTCTTGGCTGGCAGCTACATTTTAAACCAGAACAGAGACTGTGTGGTTTGAGGACTGGTTATCCTGCCTGTTCTCAGCTGTTTCCACTGGGCTGGAGGTTCATCTTACATGTCACTTGAAGTGACTGAAGAATTTGTATCCCTGTCCTGCCTCTTAATGTGCTACAATGATCATTACATTCCTTAGTTGTTTGCTTTTTCTTTCTAAAAAATGTCTTATCATAGCTTCTCTATGGCTGTTTACTAAGGACATGAGCAGCCCTTGACAAGCACAGAACATACCATAGTGCTCCAAAAAGGAGGGAGAAGTGTTGGGAGTTGAAGTGGATTTCTGTTTGCAGCCTACCAAAGGTCATCATAGGCAATTCAGATAAAACTGAAATTTCAAAAATACCTTATACAACTTCTGTGCATTATTCCATTATTTGAATGATTATTAGATGTACTAGCAAAACATTAAGGAAAATGAGTAATATCTTTCTTTTATTCAAATGTGCCGATATAACCAAAATTCTTAGAATATTGTATTTCAGTTGGAAGGGATCTGCAGTGATCATGTGGCCAACTGCCTGACCTCTTCAGGTCTGACCAAAAGCTAAGCATGGTATTAGGGCTGTTGTCCAAACACCTCTTAAACACCGTTTGTTGATTCCATTCAAATTTTAGGGAGTTTCTAATTTGTTTTTTGTTCTGTTTTTTTCTTCCTGTTTTGGTTTTAGACCCAGATGAAGTAATTTATGATGATGTGCCAAGAGAAAATTCAGACTCTGAAACAGGTTTGAGATCTTTTTAATACAGACCATGTTGAAAGCAATGTAATATGGAATTATGTGCATGTATACTGAATAGATACATTCATTAAGTATCTGAAACATATGTAAATGAAATTAACACTGTGTCAACAGTTGCTAAGTCTTTTAGTACTGTTTCAACAAAGACAACCTAGTTTGGCTACTTGAAAATTGAATTTAATTCACATTTTAAAATGTGCATACAGAAGTCTGTATAGGTTTTTGTAGAACATTCTGAACAAGCTTTTTTTGTGTTCTGTCTTTAAACAGAAATTTCAGTGTATCTTTTCTTATTTTGATTTAATTCTTGCAGAGGAAATGATTTATGATGATGTTGAAAATGGTGATGATGGTGGAAACAGCTCACTGGAATATGGGTGGAGTTCAAGTGAGTTTGAAAGCTACGAAGAACAGAGTGATTCCGAGTGTAAAAATGGAATTCCCAGCTCCTTTTTGCGAGGAAACCACAAGAGACATGTATGTATCCCACAGTGCTGCTCTGTCATTGAGATTATCCTGATTTCCAACACTTGCCCTTTTCATATATTTTACTTATCCTCAGTCCAGTTCAAACGCCAACATCTTTTTAAAGGAGATGTGAATCAGTGTGGGAGTGATAGTCCACAACAAAGTGTAAAGGGGAAAAGATTAAAATATTAAACAGAAACTTCTTAAAAAACAAAACAAAACAAAAAACCTCAAACTGGATAAAGGTAAAATTAAAAATTAGTTTAGTTTTGCCTGACAAGACTTGAAGGTTTGGGATCCTTCGGGTGCTCACAAGTCTCAACATTTTTTGTCCGTGTTCCCTACGTTTCTGTCTTTGATCTGAAGGTGACTGAGCTAAGGAGAGAAGAGAGGTGGTGTGATTAAAATGATGCATCTGTGACACACCTCTGGTCTAGTATCTTTGGCTGCATCTGTGCCACAGGAGGCAGGAAGACACTGGTGGCATGGGTCCATGCCCTCCCCTCATCTTTATGATTGCACATCAGGAGGAGCCTTGGACTCCCATGCTTTTGCTGCTTTGGCTCCTCTCCTGCCCTCGTGCCCTTTCTGTGAAAGGAAAGTCTTCTCTGGGACCTGGGCTGCCTCCCGCTGCCTGTGCTGTGCTCTGAACACTTGGAGAATGGGGATGTGGGGCACAATGGGATCAGGCAGGGCTGGGCTCAGTGCCTAGAGCTACTGCAAAATCCTCAGAACTGCCTGGTGTGTGCTGGCTAGGGATAGACATGCAGGAGGCACTTACAGCTGCACAGTGTTAGCTGCTCCAGCACCCTGGGACTGGAGGATGTAGGGGTAGCCGCCAGGGTGTTTTTCCATGGGACTCTAATCTTAATTTTGCAGGTTTCTTATCTTGATGAGAGTAAAAGCTTTACTGTTTGTTTCCTTCCAGTTCATGTTTTCTCTTCTCCCAACACCTCCATTCTTGCTGCCTGCCCTTTGGAAATAGAGAGTGAGCAATTAACTGCAAGAATTGAGCCCACCCAGATCAGAGCTTTGCAAGCTGAGAGCTCCCCTTCTGGTTTTGTTTTGGTTTTGTCCTGACTAGAACAAGTTTAAGCTATTGCAGCTTATTCTGGGGAGTTTTTTAAACTAGTCTATAGACAAAGGAGTTTTGATTTTTATATTTTTTTAAATACCTTTGGAAGAGACTGGAGGATATCTTCACATAAGAAAGTCTTAACATGGTTGCAGGTGTGTTCTTTTTTTTTTTTTTTTTTAATCTTTTCCTGTACTTGTAGCTGCAGCTTTGGCCATAGTTATAGGAATCTATTTCCACATGTGCACAAAGCAAGGTATAAAGGCATTTCTAAAATGCTTATAAGTGTGCTTTGATCTGTCATGGGAAACTGTTGGATTGAGAGTGATAGTGCCAAGATCAGGCACAGTCTGTCTGAGCAAGAGATGGGGGAGTGGTGGGAGGGGAGATATGCTCTGGGGTACTGCCCTGCAGCTGGCTTTTTCAGACCTGTGACAGAAGGTTTTGAGGATTGCTATGTGAGGATGGAGCTTAGGAACACATTAACTGGTGGATAGAGAGGGCAGATTCTGCAGCATTTAGATGGGTTACTGCAAGATGGAAAAGTCAGGATACTAGAGAAGGGGTTTGGTGGAGGATGAAGAAAGGCAGAAAACTGAGATTGCTGAGAAAGCACTCTGCTTTATACATGTTCTCTGTATCTGTTCCTTGCACTGTCAGATCTTGTGGTGGATGTTACAGTATTTTCCCAGCACGTCTTTGCGGTCTTTCAGAGCTTATGAAGGACTAGCTTTGCTTATTTATTTATTTATTTTCCATTGGAAAGTATGTAAAGTTTGGAAGTGGGATTTTTAATTGTAGGTGCTGGTATTGCTTCCCTCAAAGTAACTTTTTTATTATTACTTTTGATTATTATTTATTTATGTAAAGACTGGAAGGGTTTTGTGCTAATTAACATTTCTGGTCTGTGAATCAGATGCTGTTCTTAATTATAATTCTGTAATGCCAGAATCATCAGGCTAGAGATGATCACATCCTGACCCAGCCTAGTGGAGCTAAATGCTGGACCTGTCCCTTTCTTTTCTACTCTGTAGGCCTTCTTTTTCCTGATGCTTTCATCTCTTGCCAAGTAACTCTCCTGACATCAATCTGAGGGATTTTCCATTGGCCTCCTATTTTAGGGCACTGCAATTACTTTTTTTTTTTTTCTAGTTACATTTTAACCCCTTTTATCTGGTTTTCTCAAAATATTTAATGATTGTTAATTAGTATTTCAGAGCATTTTTCTGCAATAGTATCCTTAACTTGCAGATGGATATATTAATGTACGAGGTTATTACACCCATGGTCATACAATGAGGTTATGATAGAGCTGAGGAAAAAAATGCACTTGCTTGTTCCTATGGACTTGGTCATTACAGGGCTGTGCATCCTCCCTGGTTAGTATCTCCTTGCCCAACTCGCTGGCACTGTCAATCTCTCTTCTCAGGTGCCAGCAACCTTTACAGGTTCTTCAGGCTTTGACCGTTTCAGTTCTTCAGACTGACCGTTTTGGAGGCAAGTCAGAAATATACTCCCTAGGTTTTGTGCACAACTGAATGATGTTCCTGGGTGAAGTTGATGCATTGTTGCCATACGATTCCTAAGACATGTGCACAACATAGTTAATGCTCAGTTAGCTTAGACTAAGTGACTTTGTCCCTCTTTTTACCTAGTTGCCTGTCTAACGCAAAAGCACCTGTCAGAGTTTCAGAAAGTGCACAAATGTACAGGAGTAATGGTCTATTTGTTGGGTTGGCGCTTCCCTAAATTATAGTTTTCCCTCAGTTCCCTGTATATTAGTAGGCAAACTGGGCAACGTGCATGATGTATGTGAGTATTTTGGCATGAAGTTTGTACTGCAGGGTTTTTGAAAAGATTGTGTCTTTTTATGCACTAGCTTTCTCATGACCTAACGCGTTTAAAGGAGCATTATGAAAAAAAGATGAAAGATTTGATGGCAAACGCTGTGGGAGCAGTAGAGATTCAGCAACTAAAGCAAAAACATGAGCTGAAGGTAGTGTAGTTGATTTCTGTAACTAGCTATCTTTAAATGATTGCTTTTTCCAACACAGACAATAATTTGTATGAAATGTGTTCTAAATGTGCTGGATTATTAAGCAATTTGTCTTAAAAGTACTTTGTCAAGGACCTTTTCTCATGCTTATTTTTAATGGTAACAGTTTCAGAAGATGAGACAGGGCATTGTCCTTT